AGTCGATTGAAACGAAAGCACCAGTCGCTGGAAACGGAACCAGGTCCGCGTGATCCGGGCGAAACTTCGTCGCGTGTCGCGGACGGTCGCCGAAAGCGATAGAGCCGCGATTCGATTCGCGATCCTTCGAGGAAAAGGGGCCAGGGAGCCACCGACGACTGCACGGAGAGAGTGCATTCACGGTTACGACAAAGGCCGTTGCACTCAACTGCGCACAGCCCGTCATTATTTGCAGTTCGACGACCCTGGTGCATCCCAGTTCTCGCGAAACGAAAATCAACGATAAGTTTCGGAAGGAAATTCGAACCGAATCGATCGACCGTTCGTAGCGTTCGAAGGTTAGACCGAACCAGAATTGGAAAAAATTTTAAAGTCAACGAAGTTTAACGTTTGTCGTTAATTGCAGATTCCTTGATCGCTTGATACACAGTTTATCCACGCAACTTCGCAAACGACTTCGTTCGTAACGTGATAAACGATGAACCGAACCTGGTGATCACGGTTTACTTTGATTCCCAAACGTCGAGCCTCGAACATTTAATCGTACTTTACGTCGGCTCTGTATTATTTGCGCAATGAAGCAAACTGTACGCGTCGAGTAATCGCTAAATAGTTGGCTAGCGGTCGATGCTTTCTGGTTAATTAAAAAATCATGTCCCTGGCTACGGTTATTTGTATCGATAGTACGAATCGCTTAGCTACGCGCCGTGCCCATTTTACTCGATTATTTCTTGAAATTACCAACACTCTTCTTGGTTCTTGGTCGATTACTTTCGTACGGAATGAACATTTGTTATAAAATAAATTCCTTGCTTCGTAAGCATTGTAATATGCACGTAATTTCTAAGCGTTTACAACTATCAACAATACCTAGAAACTTGATCTTTCATATTACTACTCCATCTCATATTTCCAGCTTCATATTTATATTAACTTCGTTATCAATTTGAAAATTTATTATAAAATAGATTCTTTGCTTCGTAAGCATTATAATACGTAATTACCAAGCATTCACAACTATCAACAATACCCAGAAACTTGATCTTTCATATTACTACTCCATCTCATATTTCCAGCTTCATATTTATATTAACTTCGTTATCAATTTGAAAATTTATTATAAAATAGAGCCTTTACTTCGCAAGCATTGCAATACGTAATTACCAAGCATTCACAACTATCAACAATACCCAGAACCTTGATGTTTCATATTACTACTCCATCTCATATTTCCAGCTTCATATTTATATTAACTTCGTTATCAATTTGAAAATTTATTATAAAATAGAGCCTTTACTTCGTAAGCATTGCAATACGTAATTTCCAAGCATTCACAACTATCAACAATACCCAGAAACTTGATCTTTCATATTACTACTCCATCTCATATTTCCAGCTTCACATTTATATTAACTTCGTTATCAATTTGAAAATTTATTATACAATAGAGCCTTTACTTCGTAAGCATTGCAATACGTAATTTCCAAGCATTCACAACTATCAACAATACCCAGAACCTTGATGTTTCATATTACTACTCCATCTCGTATTTCCAGCTTCTCATTTATATTAATATTCTAAAATCCCTCAAGATGGGACAAAATTAAGTTTGCGATCATATAGAATATAAAAATTGCAATGCAGTATTAATTAAAATTTCCTTAAACGAGATACCGTATTACTCAATTATATTGATATTGAATAATCATTAGAAAGTCCAAGATCATCCTTGCAACGTATAGTAAATTAATTTATTTTATAAGCGATAATATTTGACTATGTAAAATCCATATTTGTAGTCCCTTACATATTACATCTTTTGTACTAGAGGGTTTATTCCCGTTAGTAAACAACTGATGATAATATTAGTTTAAAGATTAGTTTTCGTAAATAGAAACCACGAGATTTGTCACAAGTCTGGAAGCGAGTTTTATCTGGAATTCGGGGCGCAACGAAACGTTTCGACGACCCAGTTGCCCGAATAATACAGCAATCCCCCCTATAACACGGTACTCTTATAACGCGTTCTCATGTCCCTCGTATAACACGTGTTTTCCCCCATATAACGCGGGGATTTCCAACGTGAAATTTATAATGATTTGTACAGTTCATAATCAATTTCGCGTACGTTTGCACATTGTGTAAATTGTGTTCTTATAAAATTAGATTAAATTATTTTATTAAATTTGCGTTCCTAGGTTTTGAATTGCAAGAACATTGATTATACATATATCTGTGGCGTTAAACGTGAATCATTTGTACGTAACGCGTTATACGGGGTCATACGAGCGTTTTCCCATAACGCAGAACCAATCTACCGTGTTATAGGGGGGATTACTGTATATTTATTCGAGATCAGTTCTCGTTCGTCGAAAACGTATTCGAGGAACAGGGTACCGCGAGACCCGGTGAGATTGTCTGGCCACGGCGAAACCTCTGGCAATTTGTAGCACGGAAGTCGTTCGGGGCGAGTCGCGCAGAGAGATCATAAGTATTACTTACTCCTCGTTAAACCCTGAAGATGACATCGCCGACGTCCGCCGTTAACAAACTACTTGCGCCGACAATGCGAAAAACAGAACGGGTCTCGCTGCCCACGTACACCCGGAGCACACTCCGACGTCGCTTTGGGCTATTACTACATTAACGAGTCACTCCTCGTACGTTTATACAAGCACCGACACTCGCTGATAAGAGGCCCCGCGATAGTGGGCTTTAATACCTACTACCTAACGATCTCATGCAATACTATGGCCTCGCTATTTATCGATAAAGATAGATCGAAACGTAGCAAATCCACCACAGGGAAAGTAACGGTTCAGATATTTGCAAAATTTAAGGAAAGGAACACTGCAACACAACAATTACAACGGACCACCTAATCCTTGACTGCCAAAAATACAATATTCTTCGCCGTAAATACAAGCTGGAACCTCAACTTAAAGAAAACCTCACCAACAGAAAGCTACACAACCTACTGGGATTCATCAAAGAAACAAAATTAATTGATAAAATATAAGGAAAAAACCAAATAAATAAAAAAAAAAAAAAATCCTAAGAAATATGGGTCGAAAGATAAATAGCCTTGGAATTGTAAACAATTTTTAAAGGCCCCATTTTTGGACTCAAAAGTTTTCATGAACAACGAATAGTTACATCGTCGAGCAAATGTATGAATATCAATTTTGTTAAATCAGAAAGCATTCACTGATTTCGTCCTTACGAGTGGAAGACCCTATTTAATATTTTTATTTACCACTTTGATTTTAACGATCTTTCGTGGGACAATAAAATAAAAATTTAGAGCAGATATAATTATTTAAAGTTACATACCTAATGATGCACTATAAGTATAGATATCCGATGGTTTGTCAATTTATACATCACTTGTAACACTCTGTTAATAACTGTTTAGGAATAAACGGTACGTTTCTTATCAGAAAACACACGGTGCCACAGTTACGCACGATAGAACCTCGCTTTCCGGAATGTTGGCGCCGACTGTTGTGATTAGGGTCTTGGTTTACCATCGTCGTGAGAAAATAAGGCACCAATCGGCGTCGAGCGTGATCGAAAACGACATTACTGTGTTACCTTCTGCCTCGCTACCTGCGTAAATACGGTCCAAAGGTGACCCGTACCAATTCTTAAATATCACATCTACAAGGTTTTCTATTCAAAACTTTCAATGGTCATACCGGACACGTGACATTTTGTATTCACATTTATTTCTTATGTTTATTTACCAGGTTCGTAACTTGTGCCGATGAACAAGTAGGCCCGAAGCGTCGCGACGCCACGTGCTGTAAATCAATCACGCGCAACGACGTGGACAACGGAACGCGCGAAACGATAATCGGGATACGAGATTGCGTTGCGCGCGAGGCGTCGTCACGCGAAAACTGGATCTGCATAAATACGTTACGAGCCGAGTGAAAAGTGGATCACAACAGGTAAATACCGCGTGGATGTTCGTTGCAACTTAGAAAGTGTTGATCGCGAAATTGACCGACGTTTCCGTTTTAATACGGGCCCGGGAAGAACTAGTTTATCGGGGTTTGTTTATGGTTGCGCGCGCACGGCTGATAAAATAATTTATCGACACGCGAGCATGCATTCTATCGCGAACGCATGTACACGCGTTTTTGAGTAGGTGACACGGATGCACCGGCAGATGAATCGTAGAAAGAGAACAAAAAGCTCCGGTCGCCATGTCTGTGTGCCTGCCGATGATTATGCAATTAAAAAAAATTTAATCAACTTACTTCGCTTAACATAATTCGCGCAGACTCCGCGTATGGTCGGAAAAATGGTTCCATTTACTTCTGGTTTCTTCTTTAAAAATTCTGGAACAATAGAAAATACACAGAAAGTTAATAAAAGTTGATTTAGAGATACAACGTGTGCTTTCAAATTGCTTTCACTGTCCATTTTAATGCCAAGTTACTTATTAAATACAAGGTCGTAGAAAGTACATTCTTTTGATTTATTGTGTAAACAACGTTTAATCTTAATCAAGATAAAGTGAAATTGAAACCTAACGTATTTAAGTCGGCGCTGTGTTCAACCAGTATCAGTTTTCTAAAACCTTTTCATTTACAATGCGCTTTCGGAATTTCGCCGGCAATGGAAGACACGATGAATTTCGTACGCGAATTATACGGTTTTAGTAGGTGAAACGAAATGCAATTAAAAGCAATTTTATTCGGTGCAAAAGATTATTTTAAACGTTGAATTAATTTCTAGAAAATAGCTATGTATCATGAGAAAGTTAAAACTGTTACAAATTGTACGCAATCGTTTTTTACTTACTAGAAATAGAAAACTATGAGAATCGCGTTTGTTTAATTTTTATGTACAATTTCACTGCAATATCGACAAATTTCAACCGTGAAGAACGAAATACCGCGTCTGTGATATTATTTCTGTACTTTTCGACTATAGGGGGCACCACTAAACATGTTCTGCAAGATCGACAGAGAAAACTACTTTGAGGTTATGTTTTAGAGTGTTAATAAGTTCGTTTCTTTCAAACACGTGATCGTTTGTATTTTTGTTGAGTGATAAATCGTGTACGAAACGCAATTAAAAGGATATACACTTAAAGTAAGCGTGATCCAAGTGAGTAATTTCATTTCTTTTTAAGTTTTCCCAATTGGTTTACTGTTTCTGATGCCCAATGTTTTTGTATATTTGAGGTTACGTTTCGTTTTCATCGATATTTCTAATTCTTTCTAACATACAATTTGACGAATATTTAATATCATTTCACTTTTTATTTAAAAAATTACCGTATTCTTAATTTAAAGTGGACTACTTTAAGTGTTTAAATTTTAAGATAACGTTTATGACGTTCGGTATAGCTCTTCGAAACGTTTTATATTTAAAATGTTTTTAGACATAACACGATAAAATGGCAAAATCATTACGTAGTAAATGGAGGAGAAAGTGTAGGGCAGTGAAAAGAGAACGTTATGGTGCTAAAGAGTTAGAAAGATTAAAGAAAACATTGGGTGTAAATGAAAATGGGTCGCAGGATGTTGAAATGTCAGAAATAACAGAAATTGCAACAGGTAAGTAACGAATAAATATTGGATAATATATTTGTATTATCGTCTTGTAATTGTCGTTAATCTGTACGAGCTGTTTTTCAGTTGTGGATGCGAAAACAATAAAAGAAAATGGAAAGGCGAAACAAAAAACTGGAGAGGATGGTCAAGGAAAGATGGACGTAGATAGTAACGTTAGGAAATATAATAAAAAGACGATGCAAGATCAGTATGGAAACTATCCAATATGGATGAACTTGAGAAAAGTGGCTAAACACAAAAAAGGCAGAGCGAAAGCCCAAAAGGCGACAGCAAAGTCGAACAAAAGGCTAACCAGAAGACAGAAGAAAAAAACAAAGCGAGATTAGATTTTACGAGAAATTGATAATGTTAACACCTTCCCATTTTGGGATTGCTTCTAAGAAAATGGAAATAAACTTTATTATTACTGATAAAACGTTTTATACGTTACCTACCCTGGATAAACCAATAAGGATCGTTTAAATTCACTTTTTCTTTTATTACAAAGCTGAATACAAAATGATCACAACGATTATTTAAGTTATAATTCTATTACAAATCCAACACATTGTCATCGTAAGTGCTAAATAAATGGCAGTGATAGTATGATCTTTTTTCGTAAAAAAAAAATTTTCCTACATAAATATTACATCTACGGGCAATGCCCAAAGTATTTGATATTTTTTTCCCCTTCGTTTGCAACGATATTAAAAATTTAATGCACCACTTTTTATCGGAATTGTTGTTCTGCATCGTAATCTTAAACGATTTTCCAACTCCACTACTCGGTTCGCCAAGTGTTGGATCTTTCTGGTCTCCAACTCGTACTCCCGCAGTTTACCACGCATCTCGTATATTTCTTGCTGCATGTGTTGCTAAAAGACAACGACACTTTAGAATCGACTGTTTGTTATTAGTAGAGATATGCGGGATTCCCGAAAATATCGCGATTCTCGATACTTTCGATAATTTCGAGAATCCGGAAGCCATTTTGTTCTCAAAGGTATACGTATCTTGCTAGTTGAAAAGGTTTATTAAAGGTCACAATTAAGTCCCGAAGTAAATTTCTTTTATTTAATTTTGAACATCGAAATCACGTGATCTTAAAATTTCCGCATACCGCTAATTTTAAATCCTCTATTTTTAATACGTTTGTGTCGACAACGTTCATTTATCCAGTTTGCCTATACGTGCAATAAAAGAGACTAAAGGTAGCATGAAACGGCAAGAGATAAACACTTCCGGGAACCCCGCACACTCCTAGTTCTTACATTAAATACATACTACATTTTCAACAGTCCTTTTCATCACGTTGATACTTTCTATAACTGATGCAACCTTGTTATTCATTTCCGTGGCTTCCGTATCTCTCTTCCTTCCTCTTGCAAATTGCTAAAAGGGAAAAGTATATCAAACACATAGGAAGCATTTTCAATGACTCCAATTCTTTTCAATATTAAATGATACATCTTATTCTTGATCGATCCTCTGGAATTTTTGGTTGATAATTTCGTTTAAAGTGCAAAGATCCAGATTTTCTAATACATACTAGTGTGCATAGTTCTTGCGTACTCACAGCTATCAGATTGAAAATTTAAAGAGGGGAAGAGAGAGAAACGTTATAATTCTTCCGGATTCGCATTCCTAGCGTCGCGTAAAGGAAACGTATCTCTCTTTTACAAGTCAAATAACGTACAAGGAGCCATTGTACCGCGTACCTTTTCGAGCTTGGTGAGCCTTTTCAGGATAATCTCGTAGTCCTGATCAAGGTCACCGTCGGACACCTCGTTCTCCGTATCTGCAAACAGAATTCTTTGATATCGCCGTGTGAGAACGGAACTCGAGTTACTTTCGCATTCGCGCGTCGTTCTCCTCGAAACTAGAGCCAGGATCATTCGAACGCTAGGAATAAACTTTAAATATCATTGCCAAAGCGTTACTCGTACGAATATTGATATTATTACAAGAATTTTCAAGCCCTTATGAAAAACGATTACAACGTGTTTTTTTATGAAAATAGTTTTGTTCTTCCAAGCTTCTCCAATCGTCAACGGTATCTAATAGTTTTGATACAGATATTATCTCATCCTGGATCCGCTAAACGAATCGATAAAGCCACGTAGATGATCCTGGTCTTGGACGATACGCTATTAATCATTCGAACTAATTACGCGCTAATGAACTATGGGGTAATTGAAGACTGTTCAACAAACGATTAATAGCGTCTAACTCCAAGGCAGAATCTGCTGGATGGGCGTTATTGATGAGTTCAATTAGGAAATTCAGGAATAAATGCAACGATATTGCTCTTTGTATCAGAAATATTATCAAACTAGGGTATCGGAGTGCAATCACGAGCACGTTATTTTTTATTTAGAAAAGTACAAACGATGTTTCGAAGAACTTTATGTGTCGTTTGTTGTTGGCTGATTGTTTGGATCGAGCGTTCGAGCAACTCGATCGCAGAAAAATTCGACGGGAATTCCCGAAAATTTGGACGACGATTCGACGTTTACGTACCGTGGGAGGAAATTGACGGACGCCTCGTCGTTGTTGCCTCGTGGAAGTCCTTCTCCAGGTCCCGAGCTTCGAACGCGATGTCGTCGGTGTCTGAAAAATATATCGGGTGATCGCGAGAGCAAACCGACCGGAGTGGTAAATCGGAGGTCTTTGCGTCTCGATACGAGAAACGCTACTTCCAGTTTCTATACGATCGCCGCTCCATTGTCCGTACAAATAGAAAGACTGTTCGGTTCGGGGAATCTTCGGATAATGGAACACTTACTTTTCTGATACAACGGAACGACGTTTTATTATTATACTGGTTGAGTCGGCAGAGATCGAAAGAAGGGGAGGTTGATTCTTGATTATTCAATTATATTTCGAGGCATTTGAATTTGCGACTAAATAACGATCGTAGATTATTTTCACGAGTACCCTTCTTTCGCTTGTTTGTCCCATTTCGTTTCGACGTTCAAAGATTCGAAACATATCGAGATTCACGAATATATTTTAGTGTCCGCTAAAATTACAAGTTAAATACCAAATGGTAACTAATTTTATAGTCGTCGAACACAGCTGACTGGTTAATAATCGTGTAAGCCGTGCACAAACCGCGTTGGGCTTAACACTTTAATGGCCGCACGTATCGCGCGATGACCGTTGTCCGTCACCACTGATATCGTAGACCAAAGTGAGATACACGAAGATGCTAGGAATATTATTACAAGGAATTGTAAATGTAACCTCAACGAACGTGATAAGTTGAATGTATGATGAAATAGTGACTGATACGTGACAGTGGCCAACGTCTGCTGGTTCGCAAAGTCACGTATACGTCAAAGAACAACGCCAACAATCGCGGTTAAACGCGGTGCTGTGTTCGTCCAGTGAAAATAACTCGTATTTGCTATCCGAAAGTCGAAAACAAAGGGTTGCAACAGAGACCTGGGCAAACTTGAAACCGTTTAAAACGTTGTAGTTGGTCGTTGTTGCGCGTAGATCGCGTGGGTTTGCGGCGTTTGGAAGTCGAGTCGCGCCAAAAGCGATATTCCGCGCATTCCCCGGCGCCATATTAGTCATCCTCAAGAGATCTTGAAAGCAGATCGTTTCTCCGTCGATGTCGAATTTTTTTCCAGCGTTACCGACTCACCGTTCTTTCGACAAGACTGGCCGTCTTTCTGGAGTTGAAAACCGGGCCTGCAGTGGCACTCGTAGGTCCCGGGTAGGTTTCTGCAGAGCTGATCGCAGGGCTTCTCTGTCACGCACTCGTCGACGTCTGTAACGTTGGTGGACAAGTTATGGTAATTTCGTTAAAAAATTAATTGCATAAACGCGACAGCCGCCGGCCCAACGACCGATCCATCGCGAAATCCTTCGGTTTCCGGTCGAGGGCGTTGCGAAAAATCACGAACCGCGCGCGGTTTCTGTTGATTTCGCCGTGGCGCGACGATTTAAATGAATAAATTATGCTAATTTAAATTAGTTATTAAGCTGGTGCCCGATCGAGAGCAAGCACAAAAGTGGGACGATAACTGCCACCATTTAAAGCAACTGGTTCCCCGATTAATACAAGAAAATGCACGGGATGTAAGAGAAATTCAGAAACACGTTTCTCTTTTGGTCATTAAGAATAAATTATCTTACGACGGTAACTTTGATGCTACTCTGTCTCGAGAAATAATTCTTGAACGTAAGACCGTTATTATTATAAAAATGGAAATAAATTTCAAATCGTACGAAGAAAGGTTACAAATACAGGGTGTTCGGCCACCCCTGGGAAAAATTTTAATGAGGGATTCTAGAGACCAAAATAAGACGAAAATCAAGAATATCAATTTCTTGATTGAAGCTTCGTTAAAAAGTTATTAACAAAATTAAATTAAAAAATTTCAAGTCGTTCTGGAAAAATTATTTTTGGATGCGGGAGTCAATTGCAATTATATTTGGTGAATATACATACCTCCAAAATCCTACCCACTTTCAAGAAAAAAATGTAGGTGCTGAAATTTTTCGACGAAAACAAAATTTTTCAAATCGTTTTAAAAAAATTATTTTCGATTGCAGGGGTCAGTTACAATCATTTTTGGTGGACAGACATACCCCCGAAATCCTGCGCGTTTTCGAGAAAAAAATTCAGCACGGGCGGAACTTTGAACGTTAATAACTTTTTAACAAAGCCTCCATCAACAAATTGGTATTCTTGAGTTTCGTCTTAGTTTGGCCTCTAGAGCACCCTGTATATGTGTACATATTTCATCTCTTCCCCGAGTAAGGTTTGCGAATCCACCCCCGTTAGTGCATAAAATATGGTATTCGATACAAGGCACAGGAATATTGACATTAATAAACTCTTCAGCATTCGTTATTTACGCCACTTTTATTCTCAAGGACTTGCACAGTAAAACTTCGATTTGGCAGACTAATTGAGGGGATAGGGTGTTCGTTTCAAGTGATCGTTAAATGTCTGCGAAATAGCATCCATACTAAATAAAAAATCCGTCAGTTAATAAGTTACGCAACTTTAAGCGCAACGAAATTCCTTTTCCACGTTAAAATTTATTTTAGCAATATTCGAGTCGAGCACGTATTATAAAGTACTTACAAATAAATTGCTCGTACATTTAATCGTCGTGTATTAATATCAACATAACGTAAATATTTATTATTACTCGAAAGAGACGGACCCACATAGTTAATCACTTTTCATGTTTACAATTTACTGCACTGATTGTTCATTCGGATAAAATCCGATATTTCAACCAACGATGGAAAATAATTCCATCAGATTTTCTGTCAGATAACATAATAAACATATAAATGAATTTCGGCGTTAATTGACAGTATCATGAATCGATTTCTGTTCCGCGAGTGTAATTGTTCGGCATATAAATTTTCTCGATCCATTTATACATAAAAAAAGGCCAACACGAACATTTTTCTTTGTTTGCATTACGAAAGTATATTCTGCTTGTAATCAGATCGATCATTCATCGAAACGAAACTAGTAAAATCGTAGACCAATCGTTTCATTTACAATAACGATCCACCCCTTAAATGCCACACCTGGCGTTTAACTTTGAAACGTATCGACGCAAGGCAGTTTCGTTCTGTTGAATCTGCGTTTTACTCTGTTTCTTCTGTATCGCGTGTCAAGCGAAATATTAACGAATTGTTTTTCATACCGACTTAACGTGCACCAAGTATTCTGCATTATCGCAAACTACCCGTGGCTACTCCGTGATTATCGCAGACGATGATACGCGAACGCGCATGATACCTGGGAATTAAAAATCGGGAACTCAATTCCCCAGGGAGCGTCGTGGCTCCTCGCGCGAAAGAAACTGTTCCGTCGTACCGAAATCGGCACGACTCGCCTCGTCCGCGTAATTAGAACGTTCGTGCAGCGTAATGAAATCGCTCGTAAATCTATCGAAAGCAGCCCGTCGCTGGACACCACAATACGCCCAGTCGACTCGGTATTCGCGCTATGTTATCGGGGCCGCGTATCGGCCTGCGTCGATTTAATTACGCCTAACGATCCCGGCTACGAGGACGTAGGCTCCTAACCTGAATATCGATCGCGGATATTTTACGATTTAATAGCGCGACCCTCGCCGTTTCCATCGTTAACTTCGCGGACACGCGTTCCGGTCTGCGGGGATTTTTTTGGGGGGGATTACGCGCGGCGAACGCTGTGGTCCCGACGGACGTCGAAGTAAACGAATTCGATACGCGACTACATCGTAATCGGAGTTTTTTTACGAATAAAAAATATCGAAAAAGCACGATTTGAATGGTGGAAGGATAAACGAGACCAACATTGCGTTATCAAGGTTATTACTGCACTTTTTCTTTATGCAAACTAGGGGCTTGGAAGCATGAATTATTTTATGTAGAAGTTGCTTCCAAATTTGGTAGAGGATGCCCAGAGTGTTGTAACGATACAGGAAAAATATACAATTGTTACGTTTTAATGGAAAGAAACGTTTTATGAATAAGGAATTATTTTTCATTATCGTCGTACCCTTCTTCCATTTTGGAGAACACTGATGTACGTATAGAATATTTGAGTACCATTTAAAATACTCGTTTGTTCGCATCGAACTTGATGTATTTACACAATATAGATTACTATAGGATATTATAGGAGCACGTATTGTAACCTAAATTGAATTAGTATTGGCCAGGCTAGATAAAAATGCGGCCGCCGCGAGCCGACCGCCTACGTCAGAGCCGAACTATAACGTAACCCAACTCTAGCTCAATATTTGAATCTACACAGTGAAAACTACATAATGATGCGTAACTTTATAACTTTGTCACAAACAATAAGCGAGGTTGAAACTTCTCGATGATTAATTATTAGACTGCGGATGTCTATGCATTTACGGGAAATTTTAATCCTCAAAAAACTACAGAATGCATTTAACATGCAAAAATATAAGAAATACTTAAAGTAAAATACGAATTATTATATTTAGGGGTTGAGACAGCCCTCTGCGGAACTTCCGTTTCATTAATTCTATTAATAAAAATGTGAATTTGCATAAAGATCCGCGGTCTATTAATTATGTATCGAATAATTTCAATAATGTTTAGAATTTGGTATCGCTATCATTAATTCGGTGCTATCTATTTCAAAATACACGCGCAGGTTTCGTTTGACGTTTCGAGTTTGGGAAAAGAGTCGATAACTATATTCCATTATTACTCTAGTTAAAGCACGAACTAGACTTCTGTAATTACACAAGAGGTTTTCAAAATGGCCTTCATTGCTAAGCACACAGACATACGTAAGTCGCATCAACGATCGGCTTACAGATTTGAAAACATTTGGTGTGCTTCTAATAATATTGCACGCATATTGAACGCGTATTCGTAATGCTCCAGCGTTTTCTACTAACCTAGAATACATTATTGATTTCAGGTGACCCCACAAAAAAAAAAAAAGAAAAAAATCGAGCAGATTTAAGCCAAGCGATGGAGACGGCCATGCAACGTTCACCACGACCTACCTCGTTATTTCTTATTGGACGTTACGTATGTACTTTCCTCTGATAATATGTAAGCAAATTGAAACTTACATTAATTATACTGTTCCTTTATAATTGGCTACAATTTTTCTTTTCAAAGATTATTTTGATAAACCATTGCAGATTTATAAGATGACAAAATAATTTTCTCTGTTATAAAGGTTATTAAAACATTGTAAGAAAAATCTGTATTTCTCACATATTTTGTAATGTCGACATAATAAAATTAGGGATGACTATTTAAAAGACAGAAATAATCAAGAGAAAGATCATTTGACTCTTCAAATGACATCCAGCCAAATAGGATAAAATAATAGTTTTTCCTGTAATAGAAGTTATCAAAACATTGTAAGGAAATCTGTATTTCTGACATATTTCGTAATGTCGACATAATAAAATTAGGGATAGCTATTTAAAAGACAGAAATAATCAAGAGAAAGATCATTTGACTCTTCAAATGACATCCAGCCAAATAGGATAAAATAATATTTTTTCCTGTAATAGAAGTTATTAAAACATTGTAAGGAAATCTGTATTTCTCACATATTTTGTAATATCGACATAATAAAATTAGGGATGACTATTTAAAAGACAGAAATAATCAAGAGAAAGATCATTTGACTCTTCAAATGACATCCAGCCAAATAGGATAAAATAATATTTTTTCCTGTAATAGAAGTTATTAAAACATTGTAAGAAAATCTGTATTTCTGACATATTTCGTAATGTCGACATAATAAAATTAGAGATAGCTATTTAAGAAATAAAAATAATTTAGAGAAAAATCATTTGGCTCTTCAAGTATTGTTTCATATAACATCCAGCGAAATAGAACGATATAACATTTTAATGATCGTTCTTTGGTAACACCCTCTATAATCTTTGACGAAGTGTCGAAGTTGCTAACAGGAAATGTAGTGAATGAACTGTTGGTGTACAATGTTATACCTGTACCGTCGATTTGCATTCGAAATGATAATTCCGAATCGATTTGCATTCGCGTTCGACATTACCTGTCTGGCACTGGTTGCCTGTAAATCCTTTGGGGCACGTGCACCTGCCGGGGGAAGTGCATATTCCTCCGTTTAAGCAGGAACCTAGACAGGTAGCTGAAAGGTAATTAAGGCAAGTTATAGATTGGTATCGCCTAGGCCCATAAATATTTTACGTGCCACGTAATGAAATTGTAAAATTCATTTAAGTCATATTTACGATATCATTTGCGAATACGTTACTGGTTCGCGATATTCTTTTTACGCTATACTGGTTCAACGGCTATAAACTTCGATCTTTTCCGAGCCACGTGTGCGGTTGGAATTCTTTGACCAAATGTTCAAAGAATCGTTGCAGAAAGATAGGCAGAAATAGAATTGTTCGTCGGACATGGAAACTCACGTTTATTGCACCCATAACTCATCTGAGTCGCTTGAGTCCATCCTGGGCAGCACAAGAAACCGGAAGTCGCGTCGGTTTTAATGTTAAAGATATTAAGGTACCTAAAAATAAACTCAGTTTCGTTCCACGATATCATAACAGTCTTCTATGCAAAAATCTAAACCATAAACTGGGTACAATTGTATTTTCCAACGAGTAAGAGATTTACCTAATTTGTCCACTTCGATGATGATGCACGGTAGAACTAGGAACTGATCTGGTGCAAACTCGTCTCCTGGAACAATGGAAAACAATGTTTCGTAATATTTTAAATAAATCGTTTGTCGAGGCATTGTATTTTCTCTTACGATTTTTACTTCTTGTACCTTCTTTCGTTACGCGACGATCGATACGTTAAATAAATGATTAAATACAGTACGCGAAGCTGCAGTACTCGCGCAGCCATCTTAATAAACGCAACCCTCGAAGGTGCAATCTCACTGTGAACCGTTTCAAACGTACACGGTAAATTTGTACGTCGACGTTAGGTGGTCGTAGTTGCACGTTTCGAGCGATCAAGATCGAGCGAATCCTTCTGCAGCTCCTCGGCCACGAAAACATAAACAATACGCGTTCCACAGGATTGAACATCATAGGGCTGCACCCTTTTCAAGATGCTCCGATTACGCGAACGCCTGCAGGTTTACATTTGTTACGCGGAGCGTCTACGCGGCCATTGTCGAGAGTGACGGGACGAAATTAAATTATCGAATCGATTGTTTTGATAGCGATCGCGGCCGATCCGGCACGGCGCAAGCCTACATTTGCATCGTTCGATTGAAATGGAAATTGAAATCGTTAAATACGAGGGAGGACAATTTCGACGAGCGCGTTTAAGCATCGAATAACTGTCCGCGTAACGGGGCTTTCGAACAGCCTCGTTTTGTCGTTAAAAAAAAAAAACGCGATACCGGATGACTTCAGATTACCTTCGAGCAGCGACAGATTATTTAGATAGCTTTCGTTGTAATTAATCCGCTTTAGTTTGTCCCGTCGTAATCTCAACGATTTTATGGTAATCGAGTCGCGTTATTCGTTGCAAGAAACGTTAAATGCATTTGAGTACGTTCGCACGGCGGTCGTAACAGTTGCTTTTCGTTCCTTTTTGTCGGGGTTTTTAAGCGAAATAGAGAAAGATGGGGCAGGAAAACGGATAAGAAGAAGGGCTTTGTAAAGATTAACATTTTTATTAAAACTTTCCTATACGATGGGCGATTTTAATTATACAGACGCTTTTAAATCGTGTACCGTGATGTATTCAACCGTCAGAAAAACACTAATGAATATATATTACAGTGCGTAGAGGAAATGTAAAAGTGCACCACTGTGGTAAATAATACCATTATCGGAGAAATTACTAGAAAAACACACGCTTGTCGTAAAACGATAATACTCGTTTCCCGGTCGGTAATGCGTTAAGATGTGGGATTATAGTTTGTGTTGTAATAAAGTGTGTAATTTTTTTTGCTGCATCAAAACGTGTCTAACTATAAGAAAAAATCGTTGAAAATATTACGAACGCGGTAATGTTTCGAGCACCGGATGGATGCAGTGCTAATTGCGCGTTCGAGGGGACAAAGAATGTGCGAGTTGGGCGGAAGGACGGAATATCGATTTCCGGTTGTCAGATACAAGGTTGGAATTTGAAGAAGGCGGAACGTGGATTATTCTATGAATTCTTATTATACGAAGCGAAGCACTTATTCAGTTGTTTCCTAATATAATTGTGTATAATGGCGCAGTTTTAAAGTGGGACGTACGGGGAAAGGAGCGTTCTCTCACGGATCGTAATGGCGAGGATCGTGAAAGACACTAACAACAGGTTAAAAATCTGTGACCTTAAAATTTTAACACGTAAATGGAACCCTGAAACGCGTCACCTTTGTCTCGTAACATTTTTCTATTCCACGATTAATTTCACCATCGCCGTTGCACGCAATATTAACCCCTTGACGTACTGATTTAACTCGAAATAATTTTTCAAAATTTTTTTTTGTGAATATAAAAATGTGTTGATTTTAATATCCGTTTAAGACGACTAATTTTTTAATGGTAGGTTTTTATTTTTTTCCCCCCCCGGTAATAAGACTGAAAATCGAGGAAAGAGCAAAATTTTGGATGCTTTGGGGAAGCTTTCCTAGCATAAAATAGTATTTAGTGATTTGATTGACATTTGACAGGAAATGTCTTTTAAAAAAATACGACGATTGTATAAGAATTTGTGACAATGGGTTAAATATTATGCGATTGCACTATCGTTCGAAGAGTCCTGAAATATTATTCGTTCCCCTTCCGCCCAAGCTTTCTCATAAAAATTGTAACGCTTCGCGCGGTTGTTTTGCAAGATGCTCCGGACCTAATGAAATGTTGATCCACTAGGAAGGGACGACACCCGTGGTCGTTGAAATCGCTTATCTCTCTCTCGGCGGAGATCTGTTGCAGAAATCGCGCAGTAATTGGGCGTCGAGAGGCGATCTCGCGCCGCGAAAACCACTTCGTCATCGTCGGCCCGCGAGAAAATTGCATCTCGCCGTGTCGCTGTCATGTACGCTGAAACGCGACACGACGTTTACTGTCGCAACAACGGCCCCGAGACCGCGTGGTTCATATCGCGAGACGTCGGCTTTCCTTGCTCGCGCGCCATTTCGTTCGCCGCCAAGAGGTGCCAGGAACGCGCGACGACGAACAAAGGAGCCGGACCTGGACCGATTAAACCTGCCCCGCGGCGATCGGTTGCACAATTAAAACGCCACCCCTCGGTCCAGCTGCGGGCATACATCAACCCTTCATCGCCCATTTTCACTCGATCTCGATGGACGTAGTTCCTGCGTGGCGAATCCGCGTACTCGTCGAGGATAATCCTTTAACCCTTTGCACTTCTACGTCGAGCGTGACTCGACATCAATTTTTATCTCAGGAGCTCCTTCGTCAAGCCCCATTCGACATTTTTTCAAGTCCAAACCAAACAGATATCATACACTTCAAAATTACAAAATACAACAGTGTAAATAAAACGCTTAATTTAACAGGTAAATTTCAAATAAAACACTTAAAAGCAAAGGGTTAACACTAAACCTACCGCCACCTGTCAAATAACCGTCTTTAAAATTTCGTTCGGAAATGTATGTATAGCAAAGGCAAAAGAAGAGAATTTTCAGCTTCCACTGTCCTAGAACAGTCTAACAACGCGTATTAAAAATAGTTAAACTTTAGACGCGTGCAGTTCCGAAACCACTAGTGTTTCATTTATAATTGAGCCATTGTTAGCGGCGGCAAAGCTTCCCCTTTAAAATGGTTTTTGATTTTTGTCGATCCGACTTTCCGTTTTCGAGATATCGTAATTTATGTAAAAGAGTATTTTTCTTAATTCGACTGTCTCTGTCTTCGTCTGACGCGTCGGACCTCTTTCTCTCTCTACGCACGTGAGTCGTGACCGAGTGACGTACTACGATCACGTGAGGTGAATGACCTCGCGACGTAAACAAACGCTTCGAGCCCTTATATCTTCGAAACTAGCCACCGCATCGACTTGAAACTAAAATCGCTACATCTCCGGAACTAATAACGCTATCGACTCGTACAAACGCTCATTTTAAAGGGGATTTCATCCTCTATCCAATGACTATACCAGCTATTACAATTTTTGCTGTCTTCTATGTTTATTTTCACAATTTTCTTTGACGCTACATATGCAAAGTAGTTTCAGCACTTCCTAGTGATCGTACGACTGGTGTACGATAAAACTGGATCATAAATTGCTTACGTAATTATTTGCATAATTACTCCAGAATTAACTACAGTATTATATAAATTAACATATTAATTTGTTTTCAAGAGCGTTTTATCTTCTATCCGATAAACATGATTAATTATCTAATGCTATTAAAGTACTAATACACGTTTAGAGTAAAAGTCTTTTAAGCCAAGCTTCTTTGAACAGTCCATTAAAAAATCTATGATGAAACAAACTGATAGTATCGAATCACGTTTTCCACGAAGCTATTTAATTGTGCGAATAATTATTAATCGATTAAATAGACTTTCAACCCCCCCAAACTTTAAAGGGTAATTTCATCTCCTAGATATGAATTTCGGAAAGAATATGTACCTAATAGTTTAGGATACCCATTAAACTCGTTTTATAACGATCGAGCGTCATTTGGGAACTTTCACGAAGGGCTGGAAGTTTCCGTCGATTTAGGACAGTTTCCAAAATGTGCAACGCCTACAGGCTCGTGCCTTCGTCCTGTATGCAGACGCCGTAGGAACGTTGCATAAGAGTCTCTTGTCTAGGAGGAACTCGGCCATAATTCATGGCCCATTTTCCGCCGAGCGCCGGTTTACGATGCGTCAATTGTACGGCTGGGCTGCTTCCCAGTGAAAGTTAGCTAATATTTTCCCGCTGTACCAGAGTCCTTACGGAACGTATATAAACTAGAAACGTGTTAGCGACATTCTCATACAATGGCATTGTTCCTCTCGACCGTAGCGCAAACCCAGCCACGTGTCCTTAAGGCAAGCTTTAACGCCTCCTTAATCCCGAGGGCTTACTCGTGCTATCTACTTTCCCTCGCACGGGAGATTGCTTGTCGGCCGACCTATTACCGAAAAGCCATACACCTATATAGAATCTCGGATCAGCGTCGGGCATTGATCGATCGAAAACACGTTTTACAAATTACGGCCGTTAAGGTAAAACGTCCTAATTAAGCTGTAACAATTTTTATACCGTCCGTTAAACACATACGTCGTACGTTATCGCGATGGAAATCAATTCATTTTCTAAATATTAGCGATGTCTGTTTATGGTAAATTTTAATTTTAAATACTTGAGATACGAATTATTATATTTAGGGGTTGAAAGCTCCCGTTTCATTAATTCGGCTCTGAATATCCAGTTTACGCGGTATAATTTTATAATAAAATGTTGATGTACCGCCGTCGACGCGGCCTTATCGCACAATCTGATACGATGATAATTTATTAGTTGTAATTACAGTGGATCGTATCAAAAGTGAAAAGAGGCTGCCGTCTGCGAGGTTCCCACGTATCTTAGACCCGACGAGCGTATTACAATAAAATTAAGGCCTTAAACGACGTCGAGGGTGTTCGCGAAATCTGTCCGTTAAGGGCGATCCGCGAAAGGCTCAAAGGGATTAACGTGGCAGGTGATCCAGGTTAGTGAATCGTGTAGGTTCTGCCGGACGAGATGTGTGTCTGGTATCGCCTCGTTCC